TGACTTGACTTGCTTGATTTGTTTGTACTGTGACTTGCTTGAGACTTGATGGTAGGGACTTGAGACTTGACCATGTGTGACTTGCCCCCACCTCTGCTATTGAGCATCTCAAGGTCTCTAACATCTCCCAGCTCCGTGATGTCATCATGGAGGAGTGGAAGAGGACTCCAGTGGCAACCTGTGAAGCTCTGGTGAACTCCATGCCCAAGAGGGTTAAGGCAGTGCTGGAAAATAATGGTGGCCACACAAAATATTGACACTTTTGGCCCAATTTGGACATTTTCACTTAGGGGTGTACTCAAGAGTCATACAGATGTGCGATGAAACTTTATTCAATACAAAATACATAAATAGAGCATCTGCGGGTGAAATCAGTGGCAGAAAATATTTGTACACATAGAAATACATTTATATATGCAGACAAAAAAAGCTGCGGTGACTAATAGAATCAAAAAAGGGCAACTCACTGTCAAATGCAAATATTTATTTTACCTCTACCAATCCCTTTTATGACAGCCATAACAAATTTGATTAGCATAATTAAAATAAGAATATTTATTTCCTTGGCTAAACAAATTTCCCTGTCCAAGTTCTACAAATATTCAAAATTCTAAAAAACATTCTTAAAAAAAAAAAAAAATCTGTGATGAAACGGTGTCAGCTAAATAGCTTAAACAGCCTTGATTTGTGAAGACTACTACCACTGGATTGCCTGTTACAGATTTATTTTTTAAATTAAAATCACTGAGTTCGACCCAGTTATCTGCTGCATTGGTATAGATGCATGGGACAGTTTAAGGGCATAAAAGCATTCATTCTCATTCGGACAAGTAAATAACTGAAATAACATCCCACATAAACTGTGCAATTCATGATTCCATCAGCATTGGCATCAGAAATAACATCCCAAAAGTGAAGCAGTAAAACAGATCAAGCTGATGGAAAGAAACATTCAAAGGCAAACAATAATAAATAAAAAAAAACTGGTGTGAGGCACCAAATCAGCATTTTGTTTAGGTGATATCTGAAACAGACATAGGTGTTGTGCTTTCAATAACTGAAAACTTTGGCAGTATGTGATATGCATCTACTGAATAAAACATGAATAGTGTAGCCCAAATAAATGATATTAAGAGTCGTCTTTAAAATAACTGCTGCAAAATTTAGAAAATGTAAACAGGTATGACAATTCACTACACTTGTGCAGCCAGATGGTTAAAAAAAAAGTAGACTCTCCCTCAACAGATATGTTCTTCTTAAAACATCCCTTAAAGAATACAGCATTTGATCTCTTGAGGTAACGCTTACCTAAGTGCTGTATCATTTAGACTCTTCCTTTGATTTTAAATCTACACATAAATATAAAATTCAATAATATTGCTTCAGTTAGCAAATATATATGTGAGCTTTTTAAAGAGAGTGATGCAGTGCACAATAATAATGGAAGGTCTGTTGTAAGTGGCGTTGTTTTCTGAACCCTAATGCTCATTACTGTATTCAGACAGACTGTGTGCGGTGTGAAGTGCGAGGCTGATTTATGCAGGTGCGGTCTTGAAGGCGCTCCATGCGTGGAAACAACGGGTGAAACAGTGAGGCTCGTTGCCCTTGCGCACCAGGCGCAGTTTTCTGGGGTGCTCTGCATCCTTGGACCTCATGTGCTGAATATAGACCTGATTGAAGGGTGACACAAATGTTCAGCAGACGCAAGACATGCCAGAGGGCAAGTGTGAATGTGTGCAAAGATCAAAAACTAAGTGCTGGTGTACAATAAAACTGCCACTCAATGTGTCACTGACCTGACAAGCCTTCAAGCTCAGTTTAATCTCCACCTGGCTTGTCTGTGTGCCAACCCACATATAAACCTAAAAAAATAAAAAAAGTAAAACAGCTCAGCAACAAAAATCGCTGCCAAGAAAATCTGTTTGACTGCAAGCATGAAGCTCTACCTCTTTCCCATTGTCCAAAAGCATGATGTCGTCATCGGCCAGGTCATCTTGACAGAAGTCTGAGCACTTCTCTGATACAGCAAAGTAACCCTTCTCATTGGAGCACCTGAGACAAAAGGACAAATCTATAATTACCTCAAAAGTGTAATTTATTTCTGTGTTGGTAAAGCTACATTTTCAGCAGTCACTACTTCAGTGTCACATGATCCTTCAGAAATCATTCTAATAGACTGATTTGGTAATCAAGAAACATTTCTTATTATAAGCAATGTTGAAATCAGTTGTGTTCAGTTGTAATATTTTTGTGGAAACCATGATACCTTTTTTATTCTTTAATGTAAACTTAAAAAAACAGCATTTATTTGAAATAGAAATCTTTTGTAACATTATAAATGTCTTTGCGATCACTTCTGATCAAATTGAATGCGTCCTTGCTGAATAAGAGCATTCATTTCTTGCTTAAAAAAAAAAAAAAACCCACCCGACTTCAAATTTTGAACAGTAGTGTATTTAAATAAATTAACCTGAAATGTAATACTCACCTAAACAGTCTAGCGTATTTCATGTACTCTGCGTCTTCATCATATGGCTTCTGTGAACCGATGCCAACCCAGAAGAAATTTTCTGGCTCTTCTCCTTCATTTATCACCTGAAGAAAAGTGGGAAAAAAAGAAAACAAATTGTTAAAAAATAAAAATAAAATCAATCAAGCTATAATGTGCATGTTTTGATTTTCATAAACGCGGTATGAACCTGTTTGCTGTAGGTGTCGTCAAACATGGTGTTCATGATGTCTTCTGCCAGTTTAGCTTCATCTGGGTCTGCTGCTCGGCCCACCCACGTGTACACTATTCCCTGGTTGTCTGTACTTTCAAATGGCACCTACACAAATAATGTCTGAGTAATTAACTGTTTGTAAACCACTGCAAATGATCTTTATTCCTTTATTATTATTTGACGATTTATAATACATGAACATGTTGTATAAAGTACATTAATGTTTACCTTCAATATGAAGCAGAATTCAGAGTTGAGGTTACTGGAATCTGTGGCTATTTGAATAGTCCTAAAAAAACACCACATATGTAATTTTTTATTATTATTATTATTTTAGATATAGCAGATTAATATGCGCTAACTGGACAAAACATAACATAGTTACCTGGTGCATAGCGCACTTCCATTTGTCCTGATGTGGTATAAACTTGGCTGCACACTGTCCACTTTTAGCTTCCTCTTGCCTTTGTGGATGATGAACTTCCTCTTGAAATGTGACAAGAACTTAAGATTCTCCTGCTGCTGGGTCATCCTCACAACCTGAAATATACACAAGATGATGACGTCTTCTTGAACTTTTATTTTATGTCATAACATACATGATACATGAGGATTACATAGTCAAGGCAACAGGAGTCACTTCAACAGAATGAGGATACATTTCATAACATGCACATTAACCATGTAAACATGTGGTACCTCCAGTTTGCCTGGGAACAAGCTTTCAAACTTCTTCTGCAGGCTGAAAGTGAAGGTCAGCCAGCCCATGTTGGATGCCTCACGGCCCTGCCAGAAGTAAACCACACACTGGAAGTCTTCTTCATGATGTTTGTCCTCATCGTCTCCTTCTCCTTTCTCTTTGTCTTTCTCCTGATCATCCTCATACTCCACTGGCACCCAGTACCTGAGACAGACACAAATATCCAATTTTTTTATTGAAGCATAAAAATTGTAGGTATCTAAAACAATAATAGTTATTTTAGTTAGTACAAATCAGTAACTTGCATAAATTGACACCAGCACACTGAGGATCAGATTTAATAGAAAGGGTGTGCTATAACTTTTTTTTTGTCTAATGCAGGGGTCCTCCACTCTGGCCCTTGAGGTCCACTTTCCTGTTGATTTTAGCTCCAACTCTAATCAAACACAGCTGAACAAGCTAATCGAAGTCTTCAGGATCACCATAAAGTTACAGGCAGATGGGATTGATCAAGGTTGGAGCTCTGCAGGAAAGTGGACCTCGAGGGTCAGAGTGGAGAACCCCTGGTCTAATGATTTCACCTAGTTAACAATCATTATTCCGTCCATCTGAGAACTGATGAACATTAAAACTTTACATAATTTTAGTGAAACCCTCTGACCAACCTGCAGAGAAATACGTAGCAATCCTGAGTATAAAAGTGACCAAACTCCTCCTCTGGTAAACGGGCAAACTTCTTTCCCTCCAGAACGAATCCCTCCATGCCATCCAAATCCTCGTTCCACTCCTCCATCATCTGCTCCGCCTGCAAGAGTTACAACAAACCCACAAAGATAATGATTTTTACAGAATTGCAGCAAAAAAAATGAAAGGCTGGGATTAATGAGCTGTTAATTAAGGTCTTACTTCTGTGAGAGGCATCGCTGGCTGTCTAGGAAGGAACAGAGCTGTTAGGTCAGCTTTCATCTGGTCCTTCTGCTCTGCATCCTTCTTCACCTTTCCAGTCAAGCCCTCTTTTTGCTTCACACTCTCTGCGTTCCTGGTATAATCCACCTTCAACACGTCATCCCAGTTCTTGAACTTGGATTTGAAGACCTATTGATTGTAAACATGGTATTGGAGCAGTAATTGGAACATTATTTTCAAATGCAGTTTCATTTAAAAGGAGGACTGTAAATAATCTTTTATTTTGTCAATTTTACCTGGCACTCTGTGCCCTCCAGATTACGGATGGCTTTTGTAGTACCAGCAAGTGTTGCATTGCCTCCTCTCCAAACAAATATTTCAAGACCAGTGTCCACCAAAAAGACAAACCTTGAAATTAAAAAACAAAAAAAACTATCAAATTGAATCACTCCCACCAAAATACATAGAGCAAACAGCACATTAAGCTCACCGAGGATCGAGTGAGGATGCTTTCAGAGGCACAGACTCTAATCTGATGTTCTTTTTCCCATAAACCCTGTACAATCTGCCCAAAACACAAAACAAACAGGATTAGTGCAAGTCACATCAGGGATAAGCTGGAGGGGCTGTCCTGGGTGTAGTTTTTGGTGGGGCACCTGGTTGGGTATTGAGTATCTTCTACTGTGTAAAATCCACTGGCAGTTCCACCCTCAATATAAGAAATCTCGTTGTTGAACACCTAAAAATGACACATTGCAGAAAAATATAGCAGAGTATATACTGATAATGCAGAAATACATCATTTTGTGCAGAAAAAAAGCTTGTTTTACTGACTGCAGTGAATTCTTCACTCTCGTCTCCCATCTCCTCTCTGATAGTCCTGCACTCAGCACCCAAATAATTACGGAGGTTGACAGCATGGATGGCAGAGCCGGCTTTCTTATCAAGGGTAGCTTCCTGCCCGATCCAGTAATAGATCTGCCAGTTCAGGGATCCATTGTCATCCAAGTACGCCTGCAAAAATGCATTACAAAGCATTCATTGAAAGAAGGGATGCAGATCTCATAAAAAAAAAAAAACAAGATTTAAATGATGTTGAAATGACATTTCAACATCATGCCCGTTTAACATGGGAAAAAAAAAAAAAAGTACAGGCCTGACCTTGAGAACAATGTAACAGTCTGCCTCATAGAACTTCCCATGGAAGGCCTCGTCCACCTGGATGGGTATAAAGTTTTCTATCTGCCAAACGGAAACACCAGGGATCTGCCCCACATCCTCCATGAAGAACTCAGAGTAATCCAGAGGAGGTTTCTCTAGCTTCTTGTCCCATCGTTTGGTTTTTAGATCAGAGTATTTCAAGTCTCCATTCTCCTAAAAGATTGTGAGACACATGAAGACCAGGAATGTTTTGACATATACCATTATAAAGGTTCCACCATGAGCTCTGCTGTTCTCTTACCTCGATGGATTTATTCTTCTCCTGAGCCACGTCTGACATTCCCTTCAGCACCTGTTTAGCCTGATCATCCTGGGTTGAGTCCTTGCGTCTCCTTAGCCTCATCTTTCTGGCCATATGGTCTCTTGGGCTATTTCCTGCACAAACATCATGTTGCAGTTTGAGTTGCATTACACAGTTATAGTTTGTTTTGTTACTTCAAATTCAGCATATTGAGCCAACAACGGTTAGGTAGGTGCGAACAACAACAACAACCCTCTTAGAGAGAAAAAAGAGAAACATATATTGTACCTCCACCAGCTGCTGCCACAGTGGCTGGAGATGCACCAGCCAATCGCAGTTGGTTTTGCAATGAGAAGTCTATGTTGTACCACTCAGCTGTCCTGTCCACTGGTTTAGGGGGCATTACTAGATTTGGATTCTCACGGACATCCAAAACCTAAATAAAATTATCAGTGTCACAATAACAAATTTATTCAGCATTTATTGAAAGGGTCATATGATGCTGCTAAAAAAGAACATTATGTTGTGTATTTGGTGTAATGAAATGTGTTTATGCGGTTTAAGGTTCAAAAAACACATTATTTTCCACATACTGTACATTATTGTTGCTCCTCTATGCCCCGCCTTTCTGAAACGCGTCGATTTTTACAAAGCTCTTCGGTCTGAAAAGCAAGGTGTGCTGGGATTGGCCAGCTATCCAGTGCGTTGTGATTGGCTGAATACCTCATATTGTGACGGAAATGTTACACCCCTCACCATATTGTGATGCTGTGTCCCGGCCGGAGCGACGACACAAACACATTAAAACTCATTATAAACAAGGCATTCGTTGCATCCAGTGGGGACATAATTACGGATTATAATGACTTATACTGTCTTTTTACAAGTTGCATATCACGCCGCGTAAACAAAACCATGTCTGCATTTGTGATCTGAGAAACGACAAACAACAAGTGCTACTCTACACTGCTCAAAACTCGCGTTTGAATCATCAGTGGCAAATCCTTTAAATATGAAAACGTACTTACAGGCTGTGAGTCAGCATTATTTGGCAGCAGCAGCAGCAGCAAAATTAGGCATTTTAGGGGGGCGTGGACGAGTCTTAACTTTTATAAAGAATATCTCTTTGGGTTTGAGACTTTAGTCTTTGCAACTTTAGGGATCTTATCTATTCACGAACAGCTTATAACACTCCAAAGAGAAAGGAAAACTTGAAATCGCATCATATGACCCCTTTAACGGTTTTAACATATGCATGAGTGTTTGTGGCTTTACTCTTATAAGTACATAAAAAACATATGTTAACATTTAAAAGTTTGGGGCTGGTAAGATTTTCTAAAATGTTTTTAAAGAAGTCTCTGCTCAGCAAGGCTCCATTTATTTAATCACAAACACAGTAAAAACAGTAATATTGTGAAATATTACTACAAATTAAAAGAACTGTTTTCTAAGTTCTATGAAATCATTCTAATATGCTGATTTGGTGCTCAAGAAATATTTCTTATTAATTATCAATGTTGAAAACTGCTTAATATTTTTGTGAAAACTAATCGTTCAGGATTCTTTGATGTATAGAAGGTTCAAAAGAACAGCATTTGTTTGAAATAGGAATCTTTTGTAATATTATAAAAGGAAAATAATCTTACTGGCCCCAAACAGTAGTGTAGGTAATAATAATACGAATTTTTTTTCATTTTTAATAAAGTTCATACCTCCAGGTCATTGAGGAAATGAATGGCCTCTGGTAATGTCACAAGGCGGTTCTTGTTCAAAACCAGCTTTTTCAATTTTCCACACCTGAGCAAGTCAAAAAGCCACATATTATTAATATCAATATCATATACATTTGTTTTATAAATTATGTCTAACTACCAATAAACGGTCAGTTCTCACCTGCAAAGTCCCTCAGGAACAAGTTCCAAATTATTATTTGCAGCCATGAACTCAACCAGGTTGGACAATTTTCCTACACCAGACGGAAGCCCATCAAAATCAATTTTGTTTGAGTTCACATACAGCTTCTTCAGCTTAGACAGCTTGCAAATGGCAGACTGCATATCACATTAAACGGGGGGAAAAAAGAGACAAGATTAGCAACAAGTCATCAAATATATCAATGTAAGCTAAATGACAATACTATTAATGTGATGAAGCATTTTCTCCTGCACATGCGCAAAAGCACTTTCAAGGCCCAACTACATCTGATAAGTGCTAAGTTCCTCTGTTTTACTTTATATGGCAACAAGGGACTTACAGGCAGGGATGTGAGCTTATTTCTAGAAAGGTTGAGCGTCTCGAGTTTTGTCCACTGATCTATGCACAGCGACAGTTCAGAAATCTGATTGCTGCTCAGATTTAGCCGTTTGAGATTAGCCAGTGAATACAAGCATTCTGGTACCCGAGACAGATCATTGCAGGACAAGTCCACATCTACATAGAAACACAAAATATTAATTATACATGGAGCAACAGCAAGTACAGATACTGATGATTGTTTCACAGAGAGCAAAGTAACACCCCTGGATCTCTACCTGCTAGATTGGTGAGGCCCTCCAGACTCGTGGGCATATTATTCTGAGTACGCTGAGAGTTCCTTAAATGGAGGGTTTGAAGGGCCACCATAGCAGGTAACTGCCTGTTACGACAAAGGCACACAAGCGACACAGAGTTTATCAGAGTCAATGCTGATAACACGATGTCATCTGAAATGAATGTAGCCTTCCTCCTATTTGGCAGTGTACAAACTGCATAGACAGAAATAAATCAAATTGTAAAAACCATCTGTCTTACCTCAGCTGTGCATGCATAAGCGGATTATTATTGAGTATGAGGGTCTGCAAATGGACCAAGCGTCTCATCTGAGGAGGAAGACTGTCCAAATTATTGTCACTTAGGTCCAGGTACAGCAGATCAGTGAGGTTAATGAACAGCTGATTTGGTATGTTATCAATGCTGTGAGAAAGAGCAAACATCAGAGATGAGTACCAGATTACACATGTTCCCAGAAATCCATGGTTAAAACCATTATGACCTCAAAATGACAAAAAATGTCATGTAAATACTCCCCTTTTTGACTTTGTCATGTTTTTATCAAGTAGAAATTGTGGGTAAAAATATTTTTTTTAAATCATCATCATTCATACTTATCCAGTAAATCACAAACACTTGGAAATGTCATGGGGCCTTCAAATACAGATGTGGGCAAAATGTGGGGGCCTTGGAGGTAGAAAGGTTGAGAACCACTGATATAGATGGATGATGCATTGGGTCTTTTTTCAGCATCTTGCACCATGTGCATAGCATTTCTAAGATGATGTGTGAACTTAAAAATAGTTCAACTTTTAAAAACATGTCTCAAGATACCAGTGTTTTTTTCCATTCCTTCAGTAGCACTCAGTCTAGCTATTACTGGGCACAAAAATGCATCCTTTGAGTAGGCCCCCAAACCATCCCCAAGATCTCTTCCAAAATACCATTGTAACAGATCACAAAACGTAAAAAAAATAATAATAATAAAATTTGAATAAAAGTGCGTTTTCATGAGTAATCATCATTCCTCACTTCCAAGAACATGAATACAAAATAGAAAAACTAACCTATTGTGACTGAGGTTTAAGACTAACATGTTCCTGGAGTTCTCCAAGTCCCGAGGGATTTCTGTTAGTTGGTTGTAGCTCAGATCCTGAACAGAAGATGAAAACTCATCTAAACACACATATCTTTTACCATAATACAGCACACAATCTATGACAAATTTACATAGTTTCACTAATCAAGACACAGACCTGTTTAAATCAAATTAAATCATGCACTTAACTGAGATATAAACTTAATCCACCCAAGAAAGAAATAGACACAAAGTAATTCTCTACATACCAGCACAGAAAGATCATCCAGCTGAAAAATATCATCGGGAACACCAGAGTTCTTCAAGTTGTTAGCTCTGGCCACAACTGCCTACAACAAAACAACAAGGGCAGATTAAATGCTGGTCTGAGCACTGAAAATATATATAGTAAAACTGTGGAAAATAATGCGGTGTTGATTCAAAATGCAGTTCAAATATTTGGGGTCAGTAAGATTTTTTTAAACATTTTTGAAAGACGTCTTATGCTCACCAAAGCTGCATTTATTTGATCAAAAATATTTGACAATATATAAAACATTTTATAAAATAAAATATTTAGAATTTGTAATTTATTCGTGTGATTGCAAAGTTGAATTGCTCCATTATTCCAGTCTTCAGTGTCAAATGATCCTTCAGAAATCATACCAATATGTTGATTTGGAGCTCAAGAACATTTTTTTATTATTATCAGTAGCAATGCTTTACATTTCCTGTCTCTGGCGTTTCTAGTCAATTAACGTATTTTCCGAGCTGATAATATAACGTTAAACCTAAGAAAATGTTTTTAAAAAGCACATGGCACCATAGCTCATTACTTTACAGTGTAGCAATGACTGTCTTTTTGCAGTAATCCACTTGTCATAGTTTGATGAGTGGGCAGATGACATGAAGCGACCCGAGGTTAGCTGCACTGAAAACACATGAGTGCACATATCCTACATACAGCTCCCGATCGGGTGAAGTTCGGGGGATTTTGTCCACAAAGTGATAAGAGCACATATTATTTTATAATTTCACACACAGCCATGCTCGTTTCCTCTTGTCAGCGTTTGACATAGAACTCAAGGCATACAGCGCCGGACACGGACAGATTGTTACTGTGGCAGCTAACGACAGAACAGCTTAACCTTGCGCACATTTTTATATTTAGTTGCATTGAAAAAGTTTCATTTTAATTAATTCAGTCGATCTTTTTACCCCGTTTTAACATGGGTTTCTAAGTTAGAATCCTTCATGGCAGCACTCATCGGTTACTCAGGAAAAATACTTTGATGAATAGAAAGTCCAAAGGAGCAGCATTTATTTGAAATATAATATTATTAAACATTAAACAAAACATTACTAGAAATATGATAAATGTCCTTATTGGCACTTTTAATACATCCTTGCTGAACAAAAAAAATTTGTTCACTTATTTCAAAAAACAACAACAACAAAACTTCTGACCCCAAACTTTTGAACCGTAGTGGATGTAAACAGTTATGTTAACTATTTAAATATCCTTATGTAAAATGTACATGTGAGAGGAACATGTGATTGACAGTATTACGAAATATTTCACATTACCCTCAGGTTGGGAAGACTTGACAATTCTCCATGCAGCGTCGTCAGGCTGTTGTGACTCACGGACAAATGTTCCTGATTTCACAGAAAAGAGCAAAAAAGACCCAAGATTGAGCATTAGTAAGTTGACAGTCTAATTGTGAAATATGAAATTGTGACTCAGCTGTGAAATCGACAATCACCAGTTTCTGCAGGGAGGACAGTTCCTCTGGAAGATAGCAAAGCCCCGTTCTGTTCAGCTTCAGCCATCGCAAGCTGCTCATAGACTTGACATGCTCAGGAAAATAACCCCCCTGTGTTCAACAGAAGAGATACAAGTATTACAGTCTCAAATCAGACCATCATGAGCCACATGAGTCAGCTTCTGTGTTAGTGATTTGGCAGTTTTTGATGGATCTGCTACACTGATGTAATTTTCCAAACAGTCTTACTTGCTTCAGTCTGAAGCCTAAATATGATCTACAACAAGCTAAACCTGGTACAAGGATGTCATTTCAAGACAGAAAAATGATGGGGTGTTTGCTATGGCAACAACATGAGCCTGAGCTAGAAAACTTGCATGCTGTTCACACAGTCATCTCAAGATGAGTACATCTGCCTGAAGTGGCTTTATATAACTCACAGACTCACAGAGCATCAGTGCATATTTACTCAAGTGAACCAACACTTGTGGAAAACCGCTAAAGGAACTCGTGTAAGAGAATTCTGTATAGAACATATTTAATGCTTTAAAAATCTTCTTTCTCATATGCATACTGATAAACTCTCTAGTCTAAAAGAAGGTGCAACATGTTTTGAAAGCCAGTGCGTCAGCAGCGCAGTTCATTTATCGAGGCCAGACGCGTTACAAAGTGTCACCCAACACATCTGACTCGCTAACAAACTTCTAGTTATTTCCTTGCTGTCACACAGCTTGACCTGACCGCGACACATTTTGAGAAGTCGCAAGCTAACGCCCAGTGTTCTTCTAAGCTAGCAGTTAGCGCTGCTAGCTCACCATCTCAACCGGTTTTGACACACTAACTAGCCTACATCACTTTCCTCGCTTGAACGAATGATTTATTAACAAAACCCAGTACAAATAGACGTATTAAAGCAGAACTCTTACCTTAAAGTCGTTCCCACTTAGGTCTACTCCCCTGATAAAGGGGAGAACTCCGGTCGCGGCCATGTCTAATTCAGGATACGGCTTCAGTCGCAGTCTCGCAGACGCAGCCTATCTGTTTTGGCAGCGGCTGCTGATGGATCAAACACTCCCCCGCCCTCCGCTCACATGGTACAGCCCACTAACTACTCAGCGTTACCAACCACTCACAAAAAGTTTATTTCTGTTTCGTTAAAACTGCTACTTAAACCCGCTCAAACCGTGCTAATCTACACCCTGCTGCAGTTGACTCATTGCTGAATCATTTGCAGTGCCTTAGATACACTGACAGGGCCTGGGACAAAGATAGGATGGGTTGGATGACTCTACTGGGATAATGGGCCCCCCTCATCCTAGAGGCCGTCACAACATTCCCAGTTGTTCAACCTGGACAGTATTGGTAATTTGTGGGATTTTCTTCTTCTTCTTTTGGGAGGTCTGGAGTAGCATTTTATGCTACTGAGTCCATTTAACATTTACATTATATATATGCATTTAGCAGACTTAAAAAAAAAAGCAAGTGTCAACAATATATAAAAGTATATGTAATAATACTTACAGATGTAAAAGTACTGCATGTCAACATAATTACTATAGGACTAACAATAGGAAAAAAACGTGCATAAAATACATATTGTTCATTAGTATTATTCACTACTCACTGTAATGACACTATAATGTAAAATGACCAATTAAATAAAATTGACCAATAAAATGACCAATTATGGTATTTAAAATGCATTATTAACTTTATCTGATAAATCTTTGAGTTCAGCATTTTACATTTTAGATTGTGTGACACTGCTGTAGGTCTTGCAATATGTAAACAATTTACTTTTAATTACTTATAAAGTAATGTTTTACTTAATAACTTTATTTTGCACAATACAATTTATTATACATATAAAAATAATTATACATTTGATAAAATTGATTTAATTTACATGTTTTTCATTTTACAAAAATCGCATGAACCATTTATTTTCATGTGCCCTGTGGACAGGTGACCCGTGTGTGACCCGGCTCATGACATATTCCACAGGTTCTCTGCCTTTTGGCAGTGGGAGGCTTGTTTGAGGTAGTGCTGGCCTTTTTGTTCCCAGGATGTCTGGCACCATTTCCTCCAGAGAAATCTGTGGCTGAAAAAGTGACAGGAAATGGAAATTATTAGCAAAAAAGACAATATTGAAGAAATTATTGCCAGATGAAATATTTACATATCTTGGAACTCATATAAAACAATCCCTAACTGTTGTTTTCTTCCTCCACAAAATGTAGCTCAATGGAACACAATCAAAGCCAATTGGGACATACTTGATGTTTAATATGTGGACTAGATTTTGCAGCACAAACCGACATGACGCCTGACAAAATGTCAAAAAAAAAAATGTTGCACTTGATTTTAATATATTTTAAAGTGTAATTTATTCCTGTGATGGTAAAGCTGTATTTTCAGCATCATTACTCCAGTCTTCAGTGTCACATGATCCTTCAGAAATCATTTTAATTTACTTATTTGATTTAATATACTTGAGATTTGATGCTCAAGAAATATTTCTTATTATCTTATGCTGAAAATGGCTTAATATATGAGAGGAAACCATAAAACATTTTTATCTGGATTTTCTGATGAATAGAAAGCTTAAAAAAAAAAAAACATTTGCAATAGAAATCTTTTGTAACATTATAAATGTCTGATCAATACCTTGCTGAATAAAAGTCTTAATTTGTTTTTTAAAAATCTTACAGACTCCAAACATTTGAACAGCAGTCTATGTATGAATGATCCTTTTCAACATATTCTGATCATATTTTGCCCATGAATAATACATTTTCAGTGCAAAACATCATAGACAGGCATTATACCTGGAGCCACATTTTCGTTCGCCCACTGGAAGAACCCACACTGCTGATCACGTGGTTTCCCGCAGGTGTGGAACATTCGGCTCTTGTTTGGTCCATCTTTCATGACGGTCCTAGTCACTGCAGGCTCATTACAGTTACACATAGTTTCACCATCATCACCTCCAGATCCTCTGTTGTTTTGCCTCTGCTGAGGTACATTCCCAAAGCTAATTGAGGGCCTGGGAGGTTGAGAATTCTGACCCAGGGGTCCTCTGCTCTCTCCAGGCGGTGCCTGCTCAGCCGGCTGATCAGCCCACAGGAAGAACTTACAGTCTCCTGTGTTGCACTTGTAGAACTGACGGCCTTGATTGGGACCCTCTTTGCGAACAGTGAGAAGAATGGCATCCTGACCACAGTTACACACAATGGCACCGCCCTGGGCTGAAGCTGGTGGTTGTGCTGCCCGTGGAGGTGGCAGACTGGCTGGGGGGCGGCTGCCGTTGGCTCTGGGTGCTGGAGGTCTAACATTCTCCACCCTGGATGGAGGTGCTGAGCTGGTTCTAGGTACATGATGCTGATTTGATCCAGAGCTGGTATGTGCCCGAGAGCCAGATTCTGCTTCTCCTCTTCGGATATATTTCAAGTTTAAGACCTCTCTGAGAGTCTCATCACATCCTCCGATGCATCCAACAAATTCAAGGGGCATCATAAGTGGCAAACTTCCCCTCTTGAATTTAAACTTCAGCCTGTCAAAGATTATATGAATAAAACCAAAAGCAGTATTTAAAATTACCCTCTTTATTTTGTTAATACACTACCTATATTATTGGCCTAGTTAATGCAGTAGAAATCATGAACTAACAATGAACAACATTTGTAGCATTTATTAATTTAGGTCAGGGTCGGCAACCTTTTGGGCATGAAGTGCGATTTCCAATTTTTCTGGTTAAACACTAAACCAATAAGCCAATCGCGTAGTGTGACTGAAGCTAAATGGACGGATCTGCAGCGGTCGCACGAATTGTTTGCCAGAGCCACATGCATCTGTAGACTATAGCAGGTTAATTATTTATAGCTCCTAACCCGCTGTGTGACTACGAGGAATGATTACCTCAAAATGTATGTTGGAATGCAGTTTTCCCTATTGCTCGCGTGCCAGTTATTATCCCTCTGCAAGCCATAGGTTGCAGACCTCTGATCTAGGTTAATATTAATTTATAAATGTTGTTTCTTGATAATTCATGTTCGTTCATAGTACTGAAAAATTATTTTACAATTTAAGTTAATTTACACAACTTACGCAATTAATATAGATAGAAATAAATATGAATTGCTGTAAAAGTATTTTATTTTATTTCATATTAGCTACTGCATGAACTAATGCTAACATATAAAACCTTATTGTATAAATGTCACCAAAAATACATTACTGTTCAAATGTTTGGGGTCAGTAAGTCTCTCATTCACACCAAAGCCGTATTTATTTGGTCTGAAATAAAGTTATACAAACATTTAGGCCAAACTTAAATCATACAAAATAATATATAAGCATCAAACGAAGTTACTTACAATGTCAATTACGCACAACAACCGGGGGCGATTGTGTAGCTCAGAGTCCAGATGTGTTACGAGAGGAAGGGAAGCATCATGCCGCCCCATCAGCAGCAAGTTAGGGGTCACAGGGTCAGGATCAGCAATGTCAGATGAGACATAGCCTAAGGGCTTGGAGTTTAGAATGCCTTCTATTTCAATCATGACTGTACGTAATACCTCTTCACTTACAGTTTGAGCACCAAGGGTGGTCTCCAGGGCAATTTTGATGGAGCGTATTTCGCGCTCCCAGGTTCCACCAAAGTGGGGCGCGTGTGGAGGATTAAATTGGAAGAAAATCTTCTGCTTGGCCAGAGCTGCTTGAAGGTCAGGGGTTAAGGATTTATAGGATTCCAGTAGCTCTTTATTGCCTCCAATGAAGTTGGTACCTCTGTCAGAGAGAAGTTAAAATGGTTTACCTCTACGAGCAATGAAACGCCGGAGTGCCATCAAGAAGGAATCTGTATTCATGTGGCCGAGTAGATCAAGGTGCACGCACCTAGTAGATAAATTGTTTGAGGAAGCTGACGGAGAAGAGGGTAGCGTCGCTGGAGAGATTTCACAGGGTAAGAATGTTCGGACAAGGATAACTCGTCAGCAGTGAAAGCTTGACTGATGACATAGGACTTAGTTGGATGCGCTTTAGGAATGAGGGTGAAGGACACCGTAGCGCCATTAAGAGTCTGAACATCCTGTCTCACAGTTCTCAGCTTCAGGCTCTCATATTTTCCACTTATCCTCAGTTTTCTTGAAGCCAGTTTTTCAAGTTCCTGAACAAAATAATTGAGACATATTAACAAATATATTACATTTTTTCTCCATCATTCAGTTTTTGATCACACTTAAGTCATTCAGCAGTACTACTCATTTTTTGGGTATTCATGGGTATGAATACCCAAGTCACTCATAAAATTGCAAGCTACTAATTTTAGTAGCTAATGACCATTGTGTACACAAAACTGTCAAATTTGTCCATATTCATCATCTTGCGTGTAGTTGTATAACATATACTATATGACCAAAAGTACACTACTGTTCAAAAGTTTGGGGTCAGTAAGAATAAATTAGGTATAAATTACATTTTAAAATAGAAAACAGTTATTTAAATAGTAATATTTCACAATATTACAGTTTTTACTGTATTTTTGGCCAAATAAATGCAGCCTTGGTAAGCATAAGAGTTTTCTTTCAAAAACAATCAAAAGATTTAAAATAGAAAACAGTTATTTAAATAGTAATATTTCACAATATTAGTTTTTACTGTATTTTTGGCCAAATAAATGCAGCCTTGGTAAGCATAAGAGTTTTCTTTCAAAAACAATCAAAAGATGTTACCAAACTCAAATGGTAGTGTATGGGTGTGATGTCTTGAGTGTCCACATTCTTTTCTCTATATTTCCAATTTTTTTTAATGTAGAAAATCTGTCAAGTTTTAAATTACTTACCACAGTGTCAAGGGGTAAAGGTCGCCATTTGTTTTTTGGTTTACTAGTTACAGATATAACTTTTGCCATGGGATCCTAAAGAAAAGATTAAAACCAAACAGAAAACTTACAATGACATAAATATGAACTACAAAGCTTACATATGTTTTTTTTTAAAGTTCTTAACAAGGTAAGCTGAAGAACACACCTCCACGCACATCTGATACAACACAAGGCATGCTGTGTGATTGAAAAGACGATGTCTTTTCCAGCTGAATTCAACCGATTCCTCTTCATTAGGCTCATGGACAACTATCAAAGAGAAATTTCACACACGATAAAGTGTATGTGACAACACTACAAAGCACTTGTTGCATTTGGAGTACCTTTGATTTTAAAGAAAGTTTCAGGGACGAAGGCTTGAATGGCTTTAAACCGTTCTACCACAAAGCCAAGGGTCGGGAACTGACAACTGCCATAACTGATGAGCTGATCAGAGAGAGATTCTGGGAATATCTTCTGCAAGCGTAATGTCTGGAACCTGGTAAATGATGCGCCTGAAGGAACACAAAGTACATTCGCTAAACATTGTCTAAAAGACAGCAGTTTGTGTTTAAGTCTTTTATTTTGAAATGCCTACCGATGCGGAGATCCAGCTCCTGTCTCACATCCACCGCATCACTGATGTTGATATCCGGCTCAGTAAGGGTCTCACAGGCTCTCCTTATGGAGTTTGAGGTGATCTCAGAGAACCGTGCACGGAAGACCTGAACGTTTGGCTTCACTTAATTAAAAGATATCCCATGTTAAAAGGCTGTTAGGAATATACAGCATCAGTACAGTGAACTAGAACCATGATGCACTAAACTAACCTGCTTTGCAAACATCAATGATCTCAAAGCCGATATTTTCTCCTTCTCTGTCACAATCAGTCCAAATGACCAGAGCTTGACACTGTCTCACCTCTCTCTCCAAAGTCCTCTGGATTATGTAAATACATACATTAAAATATAAAACACAAGCTCATATTCTAAAAATACATCTAGCTGAAAGAATGAAAATTAATACTTTGATCGGTATAAAGTTCTCAGGGCAGTACTTCTCCACCTCAGCATCAAACAACAGGACTGGATTACAACTATGCCTGTGAAACAGACCACATGATAAAGTTTATATATTTAAAGATATAAGAAATATAACCGTTTACCATTTCTGAAAAGGAGCTTTGAATTCAAGACTCAAGAGATGTCCCGATACAGATGTCATGCATACAGCTACATTCTGTGGTGGGAAAAAACACGATCAGCAAATAGAGACTATATGTACTACTTCTATCTACATATTTCTCAGTAATTAATAAAAAATGTACTTACTTGACCAAACAGGTTGTATTCATACTCATATATTTTGTTGTAAACAGAGTAACCTTCTCTCTGTCAAGAAAACAAGATTTATTACCACTGATGATCATTAAATAACAACTCGTTTGATAACTATAAGATCTGACATTACAGATCAAAGTAACTGTATAACAGTCAGCACTCACTCTTCTCGACCTCCCATTTGACATGATCTCTGCTATGCCCTTGGCTGCATCGTTTTTCTCAGCAACACAAAGCACTTTCTTAATCTGAGTGCGCCTTATCATGTTTACAGATATTTGTCTATAAAATCGACTGCCAATCACTCCTAGTGATCTAAACAAAACGTTCATCACTGTGATCTAGCGGCGCATGATCACTGTAAGTTACACCCCGGACATTACATCAAAATAACAGCTTGTTAAACAACATAAAACCTATAAGTTAACTGAGATAAAAACATATCAGCGTAAACGTAATGTCTTTGATAAAACGCTCAGTAATTTTTTTAATTAAGTGCGAACACAGCAGATGAATAAACAATTCCGGCGCCTGATGAGAATTGTCGTAAAAAAATACCGTAAAGCAATGTGCTAGAATCTGGTTGCTGTGTTGAGTATTTTTCCAACAAAATTTAATGTACTAAAAACAAATAATAATAAGATAAAATAGTGAATTTTCACACACACACACACACACACACACACACACACACACACACACACACATATATATATATATATATATATATATATATATATATATATATAACGAGTCTTGTCCTACGATATGAATAATATAGTTTCTCCCCTTGAACAACCACAAAGCGTGTCATAACAAATTGCCTGTGACAACTTACTTGGAGACCTACGTAGGCAGCATATTTGGGCATCAAAAGAACTTTCCGAGTCCGCTGACTAGAATACCATAACTGCTGTCTAGCTAGGCAGCTTACTAGGTTTTGAAACACAGCTACTTCCTCATCAGGACAGTCTCATGGGAAGAATACGATCGTTTAAATATGGCTGCTGTTGGAGGCTGTCAGTTTATTGAGCGGCTGGAGTACATCGAAACAGTGGTGTCTTCGTTTAGAGTTCTTATATAGACGCCGGATTATAAATAGGTTTATATAAGCGGCGACGATTGATAGATGTATCAGATTTATGGCAGCTGACGTCAAAGGTCTGTCAGGCTGGAGAGCATCGTCTTCAAGCTCATGTATATCAGATCGTGATCTGGCTCAGTGGACTAACCAGCCGTGCTGCAAAGAGAGCGATAGAGAGAGAGGGGGTCCTCAGTGCACAACGTATTTATGATTTGTGTTTTCAAAACGATGTCTCTGTGAAATGTTCTGTTTTCATTGATTGTGATACTGAGCATGGAAGGATATTTCTGCTGATGTCTCTCTATATACTCCGAGAACATGATTGGCTCACCAGATGTGGTGGCTTTTACCAAAGAAGATGACTTTGGGGACTCGTTCTCGGATCCATGCTCACTTCCAGAGGAGTTTTCTGTGCCTTTGTTTGCTCATGCTGCCAATGCAAATCCCTGGACGAAGACATCCTATGCTAAATTCTCAAAGGATTTCATACTGGTCTCTGAATTTTCGGAACAGGTCGGTCCACAGCCTTTACTCACCATTCCCAATGATCCCAAAGTGTGTGGGACATTTGACCTTAACTACTTCTCACTTCGCATCATGTCTGTGGACTACCAGGCGTCTTTTGTTGGACATCCTCCTGGCAGTAACTACCCAAAGCTCAATTTTGTGGAGGATTCAAAAGTTGTCCTGGGTGATTCCAAGGAAGGGGCGTTCGCTTACGTCCATCATCTGACACTGTATGACTTGGAGGCTCGTGGATTTGTACGCCCCTTTTGCATGGCCTACATTTCCGCAGACGAAAAGAAGATCATGCATCAGTTTCAAGAACTGTCATCCGAGTTTTCCCAGGCTTCCGAATTTCTCAAGTCAGGCAACAGGAAAGCTTTTGCAAATGAACTGGAAAAGAAACTGAAAGACCTAGAGTACACCAGATCAGTGCTGCACAAAGAGACTGAGCTGCAAAAAAAGAACAATGGCTGTTATTCCACACAAGCTATTGAGAAGGCGAATGAATTAGCAAATGTGGAGAAGTCCATCTATGAACACAAAGATCTGCTGAGGCAAATAACATCTTATCCTTCCAGGAAAAAGAAAGATGTAGATTTTGTACAACGCGAGACAGAGAAACTGGCTGACATAAGTGTATTGGACGATACACTAAATAGTAATCATTCTGACATTGCAGATAAGACTGTGGAAACCGAAAGCGATAGTAGAAAGTCCTCTTACACGCCTCAGCTCATTAAGGCCAAATCTGCGAAGTGCTTTGATAAACGCTTGAAAACAATGGAAGAGCTCTGTGATGCCAACTTTTTTCACCAAACTCTAGAGCAACTAAACATAACTGAGAAGTCATTCCGAGGAGATCTGTGCTTTATTTACACTAGCCAGATTGGCAGGGCTCTTCTGGGCAAACAGAGAGTTACTAGTTTTCTCTTCGAAGAATGGGAGAAGGAAGGAACCTCAAAGAACTTAAATATTTTTTCCCACAATCCAACAGTCCCTATTCTGAACTTACCTGGCGAGCTGCTGAGTCTCGAATCATACACCACCTGCATAGATATAGATCACATTAAGCCAGGTGTGGAGTCTATGGAAGGGCCTCCTGAGTCCAGTTTATCTGACATTACGCAGGAAACCTCAGAGGCCGCCGACACGGAGACCAAAGGGAGTTTCAGTAGCGACAAGAGCATTGAGGCTTTTGGAGGTGTCAGTCCTTCCAGTCTACAGACAAATTACTTTGATGGTCTAGAAAGAAAGAGCAAGGTATCCATTGCATCACCATCTGAAAGTGCATCCAGCTATGTTGCCGTCCCACAAAAGATGACTGATGGGAATCTAGTCCCGATGGATGCAGCCTGCTGTATTGGACAGGACGGTTTCATTTTTGGGGAACCTTTACCTGAGCTTGCTCAGGAGTGCTGTGGCGACACAGTGGTGAACCAAGAACCTCTGTCTCTTCTTCAGGGAGACCCTGCCTTACAGGTGGACTACATTTTGGAAGAATCAGCCCTTGCAGAGAGCCCAAACATGGGACTGACTTTTTCTGAACTGAACACTGGCGTTCTTTCTGAGGAGGTGGCGAAAATTAATATAGAATATGTCTCCGATAGTACGAGCTTTATGAGCGCCTCTACCAGTTCTGACCGTGCTGTGTCTCCGTTCACCTACGGCAGTGCGTTGACGCTAAAGCAGAAGAAGAAAGCTGGTCACAGCGCTCTTCGATTCATCAGGCAATATCCATTTGCTCAGCAAGCCATTTTCTGCCTTCTGAGTGGCCGAACGCTTGTTATTTTAGGGGTGGATGAGGGCACGGTGAGGAAGCTAGTCAATGCTTTGTTCTTTTTCGTTCCCAATCTCGGCAAGTACGGTGAAACCGTCCAACCGTGGCTTTCATCGCCATTTCAGCTTACCGACCTGCAGAGATGGAAACTTATTGGGTTGCAGAGGTATGTTGAGAAAAGCTGACCTGTAGTCAGTCAATAACTCGGTATCATAGTTTCAAAAGTGTTTTTTTTGCTTGCAATGCTTTAAATCAGTGACAAAGTGCAGCGTTTCATTTATTTTAGTAATTTCCTATTTTTTTCCAGAGCTGCCTCCCCGGCTGGATCCAGCATTCTCCACTCTTTGAATCGATACAGCCGTTACATAAGCATTTTGGACTGTGACAGCAAGACCCTCCGGTGTCCACCATACAAAGGAACACTAATAAGCCATTTGGCAGACCACAGGACTCAGATCAAACGTGGCAGTACCTACTTCCTCCATGTTCAGGGTATGTTGACTCAGCTTACAGCCAAGGCATTCCTTTACACATTCTGCCATCATATTCACCTTCCCATGGACATCAACGACCAGGGCTCGGTAACGTCACGCAGGACTAATTTCTTGTTGCAGCTTGGCTACACTGTGGAGGAGAGTAAAATCGTCCAGTACCTGAGTGAGCTCATCAAGCAGCATTACATTCAGGGGTCATCGATGGGGGGCGACCAGTCTTTTTGTTTTAATTACACCACCAGCTATTTGTACAAAATCTGATTGTGTCCACTATATGTTCAACATTGACCCATTGATAAAAATCAGGAGACCAAATGTATTGAATGTAATCACCTTTTTTCTCTTCATGGCATTCCAGGAAACAACAGGTTGAACATCTGGTGTTAGAAAATGTGGTATTGACTATTTGTTTAGTGTAGAGGTTGCATATTTAAATCTATTGCCAAGCCGTTTTCTGTAAAATGGTTCCTCTTGTGGTTTGAGGACCTTACAAAAGCTCTGAAATATCAAGATTCAGCAAAATGTCACTGTTGTTCAAGCACAAGTAGTCTTGTTTTGAAAGAGGCTGTACAAAACAGCTCATTTAAATATGTGTAGCCACATGCTTGTTTTCATTGACAGCAAAAGCTACACCAGAACAGCAGCAGTAGAGTCTCTAATCACAATTTAATTAATCTGGTCCCGGTATCCCATTTAATAATTAATGTTTTTTTTTGTCTTCACAAGCAAAGCAACTGTTGCTGCATGAAAATCACAAGCATAATTTTTATGGAACTAATTTATGAGGCAATAGAATTTATAATACACATTCTCCTCAATATGCAGCTATTATAAAATGCATTAACATTGTGTATTTAAATTAGTAGATAATTTGATGTTAATTCATGGATTAGTCAGTAATTAGCTTTATATACGTGCGTGATACTTGCTTTCTGGACTTGAGAAATAGTTAATACACTAAACTAATTAGTAATATAGGGAAACCATGCAAATTAGCCTGAGATTTATCCTTTTTTCTGCCCTCTCTAGTCAACATAAAGTCTGAGGGGAAAATTTAATATTTTGTATAACTGAATACAAAAATGAACAAAGGCATTATTAAACAAACAAAAAATGAGCCAACTGCCCTTCGTGTTTTAACGTAATTGTGTGATGAGGTGAATGAATGTACTGCATGTAAAATGTCACATCGTGGAGAACGGTTACACAACTTTTCTGCATGTTTGAAGAACACAAAAATGTAACTGTGGCAAATTATAGACACTTCCATTGTATCTCATGTGTTGTACTATTCAGCCTTTCTAGATGTATTTAAAATTGATATAAATTGTTGTCTTAAGTTGTGTGCAAGCATCGTCAGCACGAGTAACTGTGGATGAAGTAGCACTTCATTCTAATGGCTGTTGCACTGATGTGAAATGAACGATAATGGTGGTTGTTGTCAAAATACATTGTCTGTAATTGTTATTCCCACTACTGCATGATAGCAGTTGTAGTCCAGAATTACAGATCTTGACTGCCACCGCTGTTTCATCACAAGTGTGTCTTAATATCAAGTTGTGTTGGCTACCCAGTAATTATTGGCCTTTGTCACGATTTGTTAGAGACAGATTTTTCAGCATTTAATTGCAGAGTCTGTTGAATGTAAATTGAGAATAAGCCATACCATTATATGCACATTAACTTCTAAGAAGGTTATTTATTTTTGCTGTATCTGAACAAATCTTGTTTGCTGTAACTGTCTTAATCATG